GACATGGCGGGCTGAGGAGCCGGGACCCCCGCGGCAGTCCGGGAGGGGATGGCGGCCGAGGCGGGGAGAAGCGGCTGGGCTCAGCCCGACCGCGCCCCGATGTCCTCCTGACGGGCAGCAGAGGCGCCGGGCACCATGCACTCCCCCGGGCCCGCGCGCCTGTCGCCTCCCCTTCCGTCCCCCCTTCCCTTCCCAAAGGCCCGCGGCGGCTCCGGCCCCTCGGCCGAGCAAACTTTCTCGGAGGCGGCGGAGCTCGCGAGCTTCGGGAGAGGGCGGTCGGGCGGTGCGGGCGGGCGCCGGCCGGCTGGGCAGGAGCGGCGCGGGCGGGCGGCTCGGCGCGCGTGTGTGTGTCCGTCAGGCTGCTCTTTCAAAGGGATGAGTCAGCCACGCGCCGCCCTCCGCCGGCGCCGCCCTCCGCCGCCGCCGGCTTTTCCCACCCTTTCGCTTCGCCTCCTCCCCGCTCTGTGGGCTCCAGCTCCCTCCGAGCAGCCGCGCTCTCAGGCCGCGGCCGCCGCCAATACCCCTAGCGGCGGTACCGGGGGTAACAGGGCGGAGCTAAACTCAAGGGGGCGGTGCTTGCGGAAATGGGCGGGGCCGCGCGTGCGCGAGGAGTCGGCTCCCTGTCCCGGCTGCTCCGCCCGGGGGAGGAGCGTGCGCTCGCGTCCCTACGGCCTCGGTTGCGTGATCCCGAGAGGCGGCCGCCCTGGTCCCGGCGTCCATCACCCTTGCGTGCAGCCCGGCCGTAGGGAGAGAAATGCATTCGATCTCTCCCTCGACCATGTGGTGCAGCGGCCACCCGGCCTCCCCTACGCGATGCCTCACTGTAGGGCTCCGATCGGGGTCCGGCACCCTCGCGCTGGGCGGAGCGGAGAGGACACGCAGCTGAGCGCTCCCGAGGCCGAGGCCCCTGGGCCTCCCGGGGTCACCGCGCCCAGCTTTGGCCTTTGAGGAACGAAGCGCTGGAGCCGCGCCCTTTCAGTGGCCTCGGGCAAGGAGGCCGGGTCTCCCAGGAGCCCAGAGCCGCTGCTAGTGCCCCAGAGACCGGGTGAGACCAGCCTGTCTCTTCCTGGAAGAGCCTGTGACTGAGACTTTCACAGGAGATTAAAGACCTTTCTCTTCTGGTTTAGCAGCTACAGACTGCTCATACTGGGCATGATCGCGGCTGCCCAGACCTCTGCATGGTGGTTGCTTGTAATTTTTTTTCTTTGTGCCAAAGCAGAAAGAATTCTGCAATTTCTCCTGGTTTCCACTTGTCTGCCTATTACGACTCCAGTTAAAATCCTGCTCCTGAAGGTTTTCCTTATCTCTCGCCCCAGGAAGGTCTCTGCTCTGTCTAGATTAATGAAGTATTTAATGGAGTTTGGTGCTATTGTGAATAGCACTCGTTTTAAATTTTAATATCTAATTCTTTCCTGATTGTAGTTGGAATAGATTCATAGCTGAGCTTCCAGAGGTTTTTTGTTTTGTGTTTTTTGTGTGTGTGTGGGCGGGGGTTTCTCCAAAAGGCTTCAAATCACACAAAAGATTGCAGCTGGTGGATTCAGACCGTGAGCAGAGCTCAGCCTTGGGCTCAGCAGCCAAACTCCCTACCGATTAGGCCGCCAGAGCCCCCTCTCTGCTCTGTCTAAACCTGTCTAATCGTACTAAGCCATCCTGTCTTAGAGAACAGATCCACTTCCAGTGGATACGTATAATCTCGTTGCAGATAAGATCTCAATGCCGGCTTTACTGCTGCTGCTACACGCAGCCCAGACTGCATGTATGTAAAGATGCGTTATCAATGCGTGAATATATAATTGTGAGTAAGAGGAATGTTATTACTGAAACCTCCCACCGCTCTCACTGATCCTCAAAGAATGCTCCTCGACCAGCAAAATCAGCAGTTTTGGTACCAGACCATCAAAATAATCATTAAAGCTCAATAAAGCGAGTTGTGTAGATGTCTTCATTTCATAGAAACATTATGTTTATACAGTAGTGTATTCAGTGTGACACTGCATTTGGGAAAAGTTTTAACTCTTGTGAAAAGTACCAAAATAGAGCATAAGAGTCATCAAGTGCACACCTGCTGTTGGGAAAATGGCGCCCATTGCACTTGCTTAAGGCAGGGTTGTCTCATCTGAAAAACATGGCAATACCTGCACAGCACATTGCAAGGAGATAAGCCCTGCTTGTTAGAAAAGCAAAAATGTGAGCCACTCCCACACCTACATTAGAAACCTCTGGGGTGGGGCCCAGCCCTCTGGTCTCAACAAGTCCTGCTGGTTGCGATGCTCACAGAAATTTGAGAATCACTGCTCTAAAGAAACGTGAGGAAATAATTATTGGCTTTGGTTTGGTTTTTCATATGAGAACAAATTGCATCTGTTGCATAGTTTGATGATTAAGAACGCTCTCGGTGAAAAGGCAAGCTCTTTAAGTGCTGGACTGTGTCCCTCGCATCTTTGAACGCCCATCTCCACCCTCCCTGAGAGCTGGAATCCTCTGCAGAGCTTTTTCAGACCCCAGTGTTTAGGCTTACTCTTCATCACCAGTCATTCAAGTGCTTTGGATTGGGTCGGAGCCTGGGGAAAGAATAACACATTCCCAGCCATCTCTAGGACATCAGTTTTGTGTGTAGGTCCAGAGACAAATAGCTGAAAGTTTGATTCCTGGATCAGCCATTCCCTAGCTTTGTGTTTGAATGGTTACAATAATTATCCCCAGTGAGTCACTGCGTCCGGGTACCCACACCCCTAGATAACCCCGCCCATATGCACTTGGCCATGTGACTTGATTTAACCAATAAAAGGGTCCTCAACAAACCTGACCTGCCAAATGCTTGCTCTTCTGTGTGCTTGCTGTGAAGCATTTAGTGTACTATATTTAAAGATTTCGTTTTGTTATAGGAAATAAGAGCGAATGTAGACAGGCTCAAGTTAGGTATGATACATGTTACACGGAGGAAAAATGGAGAGGTGGCAAAAAAATGGATTTAAAAAAAATGCAGCAAATGAAAATGTTATTTTAGATAAAAAGAGATGGAAAGACTAAGTAGATCTTAATATTAATAAGGCATGTTGTTATTCATACTAACTGATTCGCAGCTGTGACATACCTAAGTTGGCCACCTACAGGTGACACACTTTATGGCCTCATATATTCTCTGGCTAAACATTGAAAAACAATGAATTTATAAAGCACTACACAGCATGATGAATCTAGAAGAGATTATGCTAAGTGAAATAGCTCGGTCACAAAAGGACAAATACTGGGTAAAACCATTGCTATAAAAATAGGATGAGGGAGGCAGGGTAGCAAGAACAAGAAAAGAATGGTAGATAATAAATACTACACTGTAATAGGTGAAGAGAAGGCCTATCTAAAAGTAGTAGATAATTATAATATATATATAATTAGTATATTTAATAATCTGGAACAAGATGTGCATTACAAAGTGAATTGGGGGAGAGGAAAGGAGGACAATGTATCAGTCAATAAATGAAAACTCAACCTTTCTATAAACTTTCACTAAAATCACATTTTTAAAAAATATTTTCTTTTATTATTTTGTGTGTGTGTACCATCAAATAATATCTGACTGGTACAGGAAGAGCTCTCCTTCTCTAACAGAGCATCTGGTGGATTTGAACCATATACCTCTGGGATTGCAGTTAAAAATCACAAATTTTTTTAAAAAATAAATTTTTTAAATAATATTCCTTGTTACCCAGTATGCCCACGACTTAGTAAGCATGGAAATGGCCAGACACACTTGTCCCTGAATCTCTCCAACAGAGCTGAGTGGTTTTCCAGAATTCTTCCAGCTCCTAAACAACTTCTCCACTTTGCTGCTCACAAAAACTATCTGTAAAGAAGACTAGTACGGCAGAGACTGGACTTACAAACACTGCATAAAACAGAAGGTACTATGTGCCTTCCCTACTGCTTATACCCTGTTCCAAGTTTGTTCATCTACCCCCTTTCTTTCTCCTTGCTTTTCACAGTATTTTAAATTGGTCAGAAAATTGGTTGATATTGCTGCATAACATATTATATCAAAATTTAGTAGCTTAAAACAGACACTTGATTTGCTCATGGTTCTGTGACTCTAAAATTCAGAAAATGCACGCTTGGGCTGTCATCTGAAGGCTTGATTGGTCTGGAAATTAAAAGTGGCTCCCTAACATTGCTGGAAAATGATGGTGCCTGTTAGTTGAGGCTGGAAAACAGAGCTGCTTCTTGCCAGAACAGCCAAACCTGCAGAGTAATTGGGACTTCTTACATGACAGCTGACTTCCCGTAGAACAAGTGTCTCAAGAAACCCAGGCAGGACCTACGCTTATGGTCTTTTCTGACCTAACTTCACAAGTCACCTGGCAACCCTTTTCACTGTATTCTTCAAGCAAGCCACTAGGGCCAGTGCAGATTTGAGAGAATGCAGCTGTAATTGTTAACGTATCAGTCAGGAAATCAAAAAGCGTATTGCGATGGGAAAGTCTGCTGTTAGGGACCTCTCTAAAGTACTCAGGAGCAACAGCGTCTCTCTGGAGACTAAGGTGCGCCTGATACAGGCCATGGTCTTTGCAATCGCTTGTTATGCATCAGAGAGTTGGACAATGACTAGGGAGGACAGAAGGAGAGTGGATGCTTTTGAGCTGTGGTGCTGGAGAAGGGTACTGAATGACCCTGGACTGCCAGGAAAACAAACAGATTTATCTTGGAGAGGATTAAACCAAGCTACTCCTTGGAGGCAAGGATTCTGGGGCTTTGTCTGACATACTTTGGACATGTTG